AACAACTTCCAGAACCGTTTTATCTCAAAGCTGATAACTGGCGATCTATTAAGCATATAAACAGATCGCAATTCAGCTCCTGTACTGTAGGTTTATACCTCAGCTAAGAACCGCCGTCGCTCTTTTCCCTCCCGGCACCCGTTAGTTCAGTTACTATGACAACGGTAAATAAAACACAAAAGGAAAAGGACTAGTAATGGAGTGTTCCACCATGTCTGTAGTTCTAAAGTGCAGCTCAGCTCAGAGGGGTAGACAAAGTTCAGTGTCTATTTTGAATGGCACTGTTTTGTGTCAGTTAGACTTTTGTTTTGAGTTGAATTTGGCTTGTTTTGTGTTAATTATGTCACCACAGTTATTCGAAATGGCAACAAAAGTAATAGCTCCCCTCACGGGATCAAGCCGCAGGCAGCGGTATGAGCCACATTAACGGTACTAGGAAGAGGCAGTTATTTTGAGGTGTAGAACAATAGGTGCCTGCCTATGCATTGCTATGGCAGGCCCCAACTAACCTTTTACTCAGGTTAATTGGAATCAGCATAACTGTTTTCAGATGTGAACTGAATGCTGATACTGAACTAAACGGTGCTTCAGCCAATTAATTTAATGATGTAAATGTCTTTACATTTTTACACAGCTTTATCTCTGACCTTATATTGAGATTATATTACACATAGGTGAACTCTATTTATAGAGTGTATTTACATAAAATATGTTATCCTCTCATACTTTTCTGATTAACAGTAAGTAAAGTAAATACTGTGTGTTAAGTAAAGGCTGAGATTCCACAAGCTTGAACTCTCAGATTCACTGGTTGTCATTATTACTAATATATTTTTTCTTGTACATATTATAATTGGTCCAAAATAAATACATGTCATCGTGCCATTAGTTCATTACATGACAACCTTTATCCTTGTCCTGCCGAGGCTTTCTTTTGTAACCCCATAAAACCTTAAAGCATTGGATAAAAATGAGTGGCTAAGTGACTAGCGTACGTCTTGGGATGTTATCTTGTTACAATAATGGACATCGAGAGAACATGCTCTAGTCCCTGTGCTGCTGTTCACGGCTCGGTACAGAGTTTCGTATTAGCACCGGCTCCGTCTTCTGTCAATGTCATGCGAACAGACAGGTCATTTACATTTTTGATAAAATGATCGTACATTTTTTATTTGTCTTTGAAATTAAAGAGTCCTTTAATCATTGTGGAAGGAAGGGGACTTGGTTGACATACTCATGTGTTTCTGATTGCATTAGAACTGATGTGGCGTGGCATGATGGATATTTAATAGTTGTGCTGTCCCTCTGTATCATGTCAGGAGCCTGACACACACAGATGGTTCGGAGCTCTCCAGCTCATACAGAATTGCTTTAATTATTAGGTCCATCATCTTGGCTTTGAGATGAGACGAGGGCTGAGGAGAGGAGAGATGAGGAGAGGAGAAGTACAGCAAGGCAAACTAAGGCCGTGTGAGACATGTCAAAGGTTGTTGTCAAAGGTTTTAAATGAGTTTATCAGACATTTGCGCGTGGTGATATGGTATCAAGCTGACATGCCATATCCTGTTTGTCTGCAGTACTTTCTTCTCCACAGGCCCTCATAGTGGGGTCTAATTGCTGTGTGTATCTACCGAGGCTGCGAAGAGCCCACGGCAGCCCTGTAGCGCCCCAGGCAGTGTGCTGATAAGACTTCTGCCTCGCCTGAGCTGAACTGTCATCTCTGGCCGCCGTGTGTTTTTATATTGCAGCAGAAAACTGATTCTTCTTGATTAAAAAGATCAAAAGTTGGCCGTGCCAATACCAGTTACTCAAAAGATGCCCCACAATTGCGTCACCAGCACCAGATTCGTCAGTGAGCAGGCATTGGCAGGCGAGCTCCTGATAATCCAGAGCTGTAATGAATATAAAACGGCTATACAAATTCAGCAAGAATACTTTTTTATGGAAATAAAAAGGACAGATGAGAGCAGAGGCCAGAGAGTGATTATGCGAGGGAGAACAGCCACTCTCACGTTGGCACCTCCAGCTTGCGGGCCATCTGCTTAGAGGGCCTGGAAATGAGGATGACAATGCTAATCACTGCCATGGAGGCCTGACTGGTGTGGATGAATGGCCATCCCAGGCTCTAAACACACTGAGTAGTGCTCATTACACAATGTTTTTGTCTGGGCATGCCAGGTCCGCGAGCTTCCACCAGCGCCGCCCTTTTCCTGTGTACACTCCATCACTCAGTGGCAACATGTGTATGGCTTCCTGTCAATTCAGGAAGTCTTGGTTCATATCCCAGCCACATTAATGGACCAGGCTGAAGATACTTAGTAATTTCCTATTTCCCTATTGAAACTATTGTTGTTGGCCATTATCATTCACATTAGTCAAAATGTCCTTTTTGTTTCTGTACTAGTTGTGTATTTTTCAGATTTGATCCTTTGTCCCGGAAATCTTGCTACTTTTAAAATTTGTTCGTAGAAACTTAACAGCATGATTCCCTTGGATTTGTTTAGACATATAATTTGCATTTAAGTCTTAACATTCATCACAAAGGGGCAGCGTTGTGCATTCTAGCCCCAGGTCAAATCAAATAATTAAAGCAAGGGAAATCGTCCTGAGAATAAGATCAATCGAGTGACATGAGTTTTCATGACTGATCATTCAAAAGACTGAATCAGGTAAATAAAACTGTAAGGTAAAGAAAATGTATGTCTTATTTGTGGAATAATGTAAAATTATAGTACCCATACTTTGTAAAGGCAGTTTGATGGTAGCTACACAGTCGTCTTCTGGGGTCTTGCTTTGAGTTCATCCCGACAAATGATGTGCAGTAGACCAGCTGTCTGGAAATCATTTTCTGTTTGCCATAACTTAAGGCAACCATTAAACTCACAAGCTCTTTTGAAAATGAGGTTACCCCATAGCCTGCAATTAATCTGTCTGGAATCTCAACTGTATTGAAAAGTATCAGAGCAGAAACATGTTTCATGACTACATCATTTTATTCTTACCTGTACAAAAATAAACCAAAAACCTAAAAAAAAAAGGTTATAAAATTTGATGTATTTGCTTTTCTCAATAAAGTTTCTGTTGTGCTTTTCCTACCCAAAGAAAGGGTACTATCAACATAACATGTTATCCAGTAGCAAATAATATTTAGCAAGTAAGCTTTAACACCATATAGCTGTAAATGAAAACTCATGATTTCAACAACTACCCCAACTTTTAAACTAAAGACAACAACACAGCATTCAAGATGTTATGTAATTATTGACGTTTTTGTTCAGATAATGCTTTATAAGAGCATTGTATTATCTTGGAAAAATCATTAAGGAACTACAAATAAGCTGTTTCACTGTCCAAATAGAATTTATTCATCAGTAAAACTATTCAATGTAGGTTCTATGTTTACACTGAAAGACATTAAAACTGTTTAGGTAAGTGTGCATTTGTTGCAACTGTGCACTGATTTAGCACCATTGCAAAAATCTCCAAAAATTCACTGGACTTTGCCTGTATTTTTGATATTCTATCCCTAATTTATTAGTCTCTGAAATCATACTCATCAAGCAGTCTAGCACTAGAAAGTGTTGATGTCTGAGCTCTGCTTAGCTTTTAGACCAACTATAAAATTTTGTAAAGGCCATTTGAAGAATCATTTACACAATGAATGAACTGGTTCATTCTTTGCTAAGTTTAGCTAAGTGATCTGTAACTTCAAGCCAGAAGTTGTGCCAGTATTGTTGGTGAGATTGGGTCATTACTGAAATAAGCAGTGCATGAACTTTGTAAATCGGTACTGATTTTGGACCTCATCTGCAGAACTTTATATCACCGTACTGGTGCTATTTACAATTTCTATTCAAATCCAGATTTGCCTCTATTAATAAATAGGCATTAGTCTGAGTCCTTAGTTCATGGAAAACAGGAGGACAGGCTTTTACTGTATGTGTTGTCGGAGTTGGTATGCATGGCCGCAGTTCAACTTTCATGTGGGCCCTGTCGGAAAGCACTTTATTCTAATGTACTGTGCCTTTTCAAAACCTATTCCCAAGTAAGAAATAAAAGCCCAGACTACTGCATTACTGTCCAGCCTGTCAGCTTTGTTAAATATAAGCTCCAACCTGCCTGCCAGAGCCTTAAAAGCTGAGCTGGCAAAATGCGAGACTAGAAGTGACAAAAGCAGATAGCTGCAGCTGTGATTTTAGGAAAGGAGAATGGACACTTCAATGCATTTTCATACGTTTACAAGGAGTTCATGTTGTTCTCTATGAATCAATAAGAAGCGCGATGCAGCAGACTTGACATAGAGTTATCCACAATGGAGAACCTACTATGTCACTACAATGAGAAATAAAGTCGACATAATGTCAGGCGCTATGGCACTCATGACTCCTCCTAGCCATTTCCTGGGGCCGAAAAAATCGAAGCCGTCAGGAAAAAAAATATGCTTCCCGTAAAAACATTTGACCATTTCTTTGTGAAAAAAATTAAAAGAGAAAGCTCATATGAACAATCTGAGGGTTGATAAAAGACATTGCTAAACAACTTTTGTTATAGTTCTCACTGTAGTTTTGGAGTTTATCATCAATGCAGTAACACAGGGTTACTGGGACACACTGTAGTTGGTATTTCCCTCCTACTGCTTTTATTTCACTATGAGTTTAGTTGTATTACAAACATAAGTGGAGCTAAAGGTACAAATTAGATCTAGAAAATAAAGGCTACTCCAGGAATTAAACTCATCCTCTGCCTCAATATGCTTAGGAGATTAACATATTTCATTCAGTTAATAAAATGTTATTCCTCTAACATACTATCCAGAAATAGTCAGTTTTGTTCTTTTAAATAAAGAAAAACAAGAACCTTAAAAAAGATTATTTAAATCCATAGATGATTGATTGGACTTCATACCTAAGGCCCTCTGAGACACACAAAAAGAATGAGTAAACTGGCTGCAGCTGTATAATTGTGATACAATGATTTCCTCAGTGAACCAATCCCACCTGGGATTCAATAAATCTATACTCATAGAAATGGACTTGTTTTGAGCCATAGAATAAATATCCAGACTGAATAAATTTAGCAGCATGTACTTCAGTATATGTGACATTTACATCTTTACAAGTAAGTATAACGTCATTAAAATCAATTTTATTTATTTTTCACTCCATAATATCATTAAGTAGATCAAATTGACAGACCAATGCTTGAGAAATCATAAAAAATAAATAAATAACACAACGTAGTAAGTACTTTTATTCACATACAACAATACATCAGGGATTTTTATGTAGAATTTAGGAAAATCTGTGAATGTTATGGGAATTATTAGTGAAGTTACAAATTTGAAACTAGAGTACTTACATACATTCGACAATCCATGTATAATGTTAATTGTGGTTATTAAATGCATTTTTAATTATTATCTTCTGTTTTTACATCTGTCTATAAACTCAATGGGATAAATAAACATGTCAATTCCAACAAAGAAACAGTGTTTAAATTACTAAAATAAGCTCCAAAATAGTTCAAGCGAGAAAGTTTAAACACAATAAAGTTTGAGATTACTAGCTTGGTTGGTTTGACATTCAGAGGAAGATAAAGATTCAAATAGGGCTCATTAATTAAATTGTAACATCTTTATTTCCTGAGAATAGGGAAAAAAATTGAGGATGCTTCTAGTTAATAAATAAAAAGGATACTAGTCTATTTTTCCTTTTTAAATTGCAAGGAATAACATAGCTAAAGCAAACTCTGTTCATCCTCTGTTTTATCTCTGTTCATATTCCCACTTAATGTTATTTCAGCCCACATAAAAAAGGAACATTTTAATAAATTAAAACCTCTTGTAGCAGATGATTATTTAAGCAGATAATTATTACGTTCCAGAAAAAGTTCCTAAAGCCGAACAATTTAGTCTACAGTTAATAATTTTTATTCTCCTAAATTGCTGCATCTGAATATATTCCAGTGCAGCAGCACAAAAAGCCCAGGAGAAATGAATGGTCCAGCTACAATGTGCTTGAAAGATGAAGAACTCCCCCTTCCAGCCATTTACTGCAAACCTTTTCAACAAAGTGCTCCAAACTGAACCATTTTACGACTGAGGTGAAAATATTTGCTTTTATCACCCATCCATTTGAAAACCAGCCATATCCAGAGCGAACAGAAATGCTCGGTATGGAGCAATCACAGTCTTGCTTTCCATGTCATAATTTCCTAATTATTTACCAGCTGCAATTAACATATTCTTGTTATCATCAGAGGGTTTTGTGAAATTCTTTCAGAAAGGACGTACCGAAGAGACTAAAACAAAAGTATACATTGTATGTGGGGGTCTGTGTGTACATAAACTTTCCTGATTAAAATAAAAATGACCTCTGCCTGACAAATTAGAAATAAACCTGTTTGACAGACCCCGTTTGGTAAGAACAAATGCGAGACATGAAAAATTGTTTGACACACTTTCATAAAAGCAAGTGGCGGCAACCCATCCTTTAGCATGTGGTAATGGCTTCTCGTTGTTAGATTCAATGGAAAAAGCTATTCATACTGTTACGTGATTGAAAAGAAAATTGAATCCTTTTGATGTTATAAATGTGTCTATTACCGCATTTGCACACAAAATTTCTATGGAAATTATAGAGAAAGGAGTGATTCTCTGTAGGAAACGTTTTGGAATGACATATTGAATTCTATTCCTGCCGGAATATCAATATAGTGTTATAGAACAACTCTAAAACTGTGCGATTTTTCACTGGGATGAAAGGTTAAAATTACTATG